GCAGATAGCCCTCGTGTAGTTTTGCGCAAGATTCAAAACAAACAAACAAACTTATTCCCACAGGGTAAGCAAAATGATAAATTTAAATTACTATGACAACAACTGTTCCTTCTAATGGCGTTATGGCCGCGCGTTAAAGAAAGACTTACTGGATGTTTATAATACAGTAGTAACGTGAAAAATACACGTAAATGTGTAAATATAACACAAAATCTGTAGCATTTTGATGAAAAAGTTACACGAAATAATCTATTGCCAAGAAAGTAGCATTTTTGCCCCCCCCCCCACACACACAACACAGTAGTTCAGCAATGAGTCTGATGGCTTATATCGCTAAAAACTGGGTGTTGATATCTGTTGCGGGCACGGAACAGATAGCCTATTGTGTACTCTTTGCTAAACAGCAAACAAACATCATTCATGCCCACACCAGTAGCAATGTGTCTCATGGCTTATGACGCTAAAAACTGGGTGTTGATACCTGTGGCGGGCACAAAGCTACATAATGGGCTATATGAGCTCACTCACTGCCAACCAAGGGTATCGAAACCCGGTTTCTAGCGTTGCAACTTCGCAGACATACTGACGGGGACGGACAGACAGACCAACACATAGATTAAGATATAAGATCTAAACTGTCTATTATAATAAAGCCGTGAGGGGCCGTTTCTTTTTAATTGTTTAAAATGTTTTATAAATATATATAGATTGTAATTTGTTTAGGGTACTTTTAAATTCTTATGATTTTCACTGTATAGCGATGAATATGTAATATTGAATTCTTAATATCCCTATTTTCAGGTTGTCATTAAGTCCTTATTAGAACTAACAGTTCTAGTGGTGAGTTTCTGCATCATCCACTTCCTGTTGTCTACAAATCAAAACACTGGACTTGGGTCTTTGTGAGGCGCAAACGAACCATTTAATGGAGCCATTGATTAAATGCTCTTAGGGAAGGAAAACAATGAACTGGTTCTTAAGTCAGAATTTTTCCAATCGATTAACTTCATTCCTTGTGATAATGGTGGCCTTTCTGCCTGCGGACACTCACACAGTTAATGAAACCTGGGACTTAACATTGTATCCTAATGATACTGTAGTTTATCCAGAGGGCGCTGTTTGGAACGTGACACTTATTCAACGAGTGGTGACTTTAGGGATCATCATGACAGCAACCTTATTAGGAAACGTAATTATCGTATTAGTACTATCCAGATTACGTTATCGGAGACGTTCGTCACGTGTCAATATTTTTATTCTGAACTTAGCAGTTGGAGACTTGGCTGTTTGCGGAATCACTATGACGTCAGAACTGCTGTTTGAAGTAAGTGTTGGTTAGGGTTAAAATGTTACATCCTTATAACAATGTGATATTTTACGTTGCAGAGATAAAAACGTTTTTTAATTAAGAAATAATAATTATTTCTTAAATTTTGAGCATGGAAAACTTGTAACATCTTGGACGATATTTTTCAATGTATAAAGAAGGCATTAATTTCTAGTTGAAAAAACAAATAGTCTAGTGTTACTGTTTTTTATTGTATATTTTTCCACTCAGAGCTTAAGTCCTTCAATTCTGTGAACAGTAATAAATACCTTTTTTTTAACCACTTTCAAAATCCTTCCCAGGCAAATTGGATGTATTTAAGCTGTGTTGGATGTGTTTATTTTCTCCTTGATATCTGTAAATATTTTATGAGTGTTGTTGTTTTCCGCTTTTGTTGAATTAAAATCAGAAAGTTCTTTTATTTTGGAACATCGATTTTGGAAGTATTAAAGCTAACAATTTTTCACTATTCTTTAGCCTCCCAGTGGCACAGCGGTATGTCTGCGGACTTATAACGCTAGAAACCGGGTTTCGATACACTGTTAAATTAGGGACGTCTAGCGCAGTAGCCCTCGTTTACCTTTGCGCGAAATTAAAAAAACAAAAACAAAAAATATACTTTTATAGTTAAGCCTAGCATGGCCAGGTGGTTAAGGTGTTCGACTCGCAATCTGAGGGTCATGGGTTCGAATCCCCGCCATCGAAAACTCTCGCCCTTTCAGACATGAGGGTCAATCTCACTATTCGTTGATAAAAGAGTAACCCAAAAGTTGGCGGTAGGTGTTGTTGACTAGCTGTCTTCTCTCTCTAGTCTATCACTACCATGTTCAAAGTACACCCACCCTTCCTGGTGCTTTTCGTAAGCCAG